GACGACTGGACGAATAAATAGTAGCAAATAAAACTATACTTTTTTCTAACTTAGACAGTGAACTTTCTTCTCTTGTAAAACAATTTTTCGATGCAAGCTCTTTAATAAATATGTTTGTAACCTTTTTCCCTCTCCATCTTACATTAGGTAACCAGTGGTTCGTGGACTCCAAACAGCACAGAACTCTTATTTCCTGGCATTATGACAGATTTGGTGCTTGTAGATTGTTATTTACCCCAATCACCTGTCATGCCTGGTTACTATGACGCCTTCGTCGAGGGGACTCCAGCCGCCGGACTGATGATATCCGTTTCTAACGATGGTGAACGCAAAAGCGATAAAAACCTCACGTTTATATCTTACGACTCGGCGTGCATGAGTTGCAATGTTTCGTCTGGATGCTACGTAAAAGTAAGTGTATTTGTGCACCAGTTAATATCTGTTTTTGGTTCTCGATCGAGCAATTGGCACATCAAAAGTTTCGTGATAATCGCCTTGGACACGTTGCACCCTCTCCTCATTTCAGGCTAACTTGAGGTTTACGTGACTGATAATCAGACCGTTGAATTGTAAAGCTAACAGTTGTCACAAGTTAAGAATATTGTACTAATCATTTCTTATGCTGATACCATAGAGCAACGCTTGCGTGATCAATCGTTATTGCTTCGCTCCCAACGAGGTCAATCCCAATGACTGGTGCTATCAATGTCTTCCGGATGTCAGCAAGAATACATGGACGAAACGCCAAGGTAATTCTTGAAGAAGTAAACTTTCTGCTGTAAATATTGAAGGATCGTCCGGATATTTGGCAGGGATTGTTCCTTGTTACGAGAAGCAGAACAGACAATGTCCAAGGACTAAAGTATATATCTACAGTCAATTTGAAATTGTGAACCGAATAATATAAAATGATTTGCTGTTTCAAATCGGAAAAAAAGTTGATTGGAAGTGGGAATATAATGGATATCTAACAATATCATGAATAAAAAAGAGAATGATTTCCAAAAGAGAAAGCGTGAACGGGACGAGAGCACCCATGCGAGGCGCTTCCCAGAATGTTACATATGTAATACTATTAGCTATTTACAAGGCATATAATATATAAAGATATAAAATACTGACACTTGAAATGAATAATAATAATAATAATAATAATAATAATAATAATAATAATGGTAATGAAGATAATAAAACAAAAACAGAAAGAACAATAATAAAAAAGAAAATTAGTTTCTGTGACAGGAACAGTCCCTAGTTGATAACCAGGTACAGGAATAGTATATATCAAAGATATAACTTAATAATGAAAAATGACACTTGCTGACAAAGCTCTTGAAAGTTTAAACACTAGAAAACAGGGATGGGAGCAACTGTACAAATTAAATTGCAAAACTTGACCATTCGATTGAAATAAGAAGCTTGATAAATCCCCAGTTTCACCTCTCCCGTATAAATGGGCAATTACTTGTTTTTCTCCGCTTTTATGTTGTACAGTGTATTGTCATAAATGCCTATCCCTCCCCCTCAAAAATACCGTGGTTTATCGCATCACACGGTGGAACGCTTAAGCAAAAAATACGTGGAAAAGACATGTTTACTTTAAAGGAGAAGTTAATTATGTGTTTCCTCCTCCAATAGTCACAGAGTAAAAACAGTTCATTTAGGGCAAGTAGCTATCCTATTACCTTTTATTTCATACTTTTAGTTAATCTACCACCTCAATTTTCATCGACCACCAAGTACTACGCAGTTCTTCAAGAGCACCTTGAGTTGACCATTGGCGTTTCTGACCCAGAAGGCATGCCTGTTACAGTTTCACTTATGAATGGAAGTCCAAGCAAAGCTGTAATACGCGAAAATGTTTTACTGTGGAACACCACCAATGATGCTAAGACTGATTTCTTTCTCAAAGCCACGGATGCGTGCAATGCCTTTTCCACACTTAATATCTCGGTATCCTTGCTTGACTGTCAGTGTCAAAATAATGGACGGTGTGTGCCTCATCCAAATAAACCCAGAGGGTCTGGGTACTATGAGTGCCACTGTCTACCTGGATTTACTGGAGACCATTGTGAGACTAACATCGACGAGTGCCTGTCTTATCCGTGCTATCGAGGTAATAGTCCTGATGGTGGCTTTTACGATGCATTCTCGGAAATATGTGGCCATGTTTTGGATCTGTGATTATTGTCCGAAGAGTATAAGTCAGTATTTGTGTAATCCTGAGCAGCTGCCTGTTAATTAATCACGTAACTTTTATTTATAACAAAAATAAAGTAAATCTTGGTCTACACGGGACTTTTCTGAGGTTAAAATGTTTTTAAAAAGTGACTTTTTGGGCAGCTTTACTACCCGATTGCCGGCACTCAGCGGCCAATAAAAAATTGAGTCCGCGGGGACAAAAGGACAACAAAGTCCGTCATATTGAGCAAGAACTACGGTGCCTGAAGAAGAGCGGTAAACTGCCCGAGACGTCGCGTTTTAAAAACATTTAAACCTAGAACAAGATTGACTTTTTTATCGTGTATGTGAACATGAGAGGTTTTGAAAGTTTCAGAAAAACTATTAGTAACTAATTTAGGTAAGTTGATCTGATTAACGTTTAACTTGCAATTTAAGAGGCTGTCTCTGTAAGAACCGACCACTGATTTTACTTCGAAAATTCGTTTTTTCTCATAAGCTGGGATTTCAAAGCCCTTACCTAGTCAATCACTAAAATGAGTTTTGTTTCATTAAAAATTCCAATTGAAGTTTTCTAGGATTGATTGAAGTTCGGTGCGCTCGACACAAGTTTCATGTCCGCCGAAACTGGAAAAAATAGCACATATTGCCGGCGCTCTAAAAATAATAATATTCCCTCAAAAGTCCCAATTCTTTTTTTCAACTATAGATATATCATAGCAGTTTGTTTAGCCATGTTGCAATTATAATTCNCAACATTGAATTATAATTGCAACATGGCTAAACAAACTGCTATGATATATCTATAGTTGAAAAAAAGAATTGGGACTTTTGAGGGAATATTATTTTTTTTAGAGCGCCGGCAATATGTGCTATTTTTTCCAGTTTCGGCGGACATGAAACTTGTGTCGAGCGGACCGAACTTCAATCAATCCTAGGAAACTTCAATTGGAATTTTTAATGAAACAAAATTCATTTTAGTGATTGACTAGGTAAGGGCTTTGAAATCCCAGCTTATGAGAAAAATCGAATTTTCGAAGTAAAATCAGTGGTCGGTTCTTACACAGACAGCCTCTTAATAAGCTCATATTAGTAAGAAATGGGGCTAATAAAATTGGCTAATAACAATTTCAAGTGGCTTCTGCTCATACGAAAACTGATTGCTGAAATGCTTTGTTTATACCAAGGTCGTTGCATCGATGGAGTTAACAACTTTACGTGCGTCTGCTATTCCGGATACGTTGGGAGAAAGTGTCAAATAAATTATGACGACTGCAGTTCTTCTCCTTGCATTCACGGTTAGTGGTCCAAGCTCTAAAAGCACAAGTAACGGCCCCAGGCAAATATCATTTCTATAAAATGTCTTTTAAAAGTTCTATCATATTTCCTAAATGTTTAAATTGATGTAATAGTCTTGCTATAATGAAGAAAATATACAAAATATATTGTATCCGAGTTGCAGTTCAAAGATTAAAACTTGAAAGACTACCGCGGTTATCTATACTGTACGCAAATTGGGCACTTGAAAAGTAAGGCCCGAGATCTAGCCCGCGTGAATCAAATTGCTGCCCAAGGAAACAGAGATCACCTTCTCGTTTACTCGTTTTCCATATTCCCAGTAAGGATAGATGTTCGAATGATGGTTATTGCGGGCAGGTCCGGGGGAAGAGGTCACCTCTTCCTATACAAACATGGGTTTAGTTTACCACAAGCTGCGGAAATTACTATTACGGTTCTAGTTGTTAGCTGCTCTCATATGGCCAGCATCTACCTGAGATGTCATCTGTTAATAAATAAACTGCCATTTTTAAAACTCATCGGACGTCTTGCAAGATGCTGCAAAATCACAGTTTATCAAACTGTGCAAGGGAGTCTGGGTGAGAGTTTGAACAAAAGGCATATATCCTGTTCAAGCTGGCAGATTATCGCCTGATTTCAGGTTAAATATCAGGCGATATTTAGCTGGAATCGTTAATGCCTTTATTTTCTTGTTTCACTGCTAATTCCTTTTCCTTGTTATATTGTATAAACCTTGGCAGGTAATTGCACTGACTATGTAGGGGCATATGAGTGTAACTGTGAACCTGGATACACTGGACAAAATTGTACCATTGATATTGATGAATGTAAATCATCTCCTTGCCAAAATGGTGAGTGGATTACTAAATACAATTAATTTAACTCATGGCAATGCATGAGTCAAACTCCGAGCCAGGGTCGACTGCATTGGTCTCTTACATGTACTACGGATTTGTACTGAGGGTCTGAAATGTAATGGTAGGAATCTCTTAAGTTTAATTGCTCGAAATAGTTGAGCCACAATCGGCGGAAAACAATCATCAATTATGCTTTTGTTATCATTTTTCTGAAACCTAGTTTACATTGTTTCTTAAAATCTGTACTCAAACGCCCTCGTATTAGCGACGGCTCACTTGTAAATGATACCAACTGGTTTTTCCATTTTCTTTGTAACCTCCAATTTTTTAGTCTGAAGTCTTTGAAACAATAGCAAAACATGCGTGGTCATTCGACCATCGCGTAGATTTTGATAATTCTAGTGTCATCGACAAAGGCTCTTTTCGCATTAGAAAATCTTTGGAGGCTTGTCACACCTCTGCTACCAAGCATGCTGACAATAATTCTAAGCCGATTCCAAACCAGTAGAGTATTCTTTTTAAACAATAGTCACCTAATTTACACATTTTTACTCTGCTTTTATTCTTAAGTTTTTTTATCTTGCCTTTTCTTGCATATATTCTATCATTCTGCATTCCATTTTTTTCCGTCGAAGGCTGTAGATTGACAGCCGAAAGCTCATGTTCTTTTTGAAATTTTTAGCCAGCGAACGTTAACGACTCTTTTTAACGAATAAAAGAGTGTAAACCTTTCGATAACGTTGGAAACTCCTCCAAAGTTTTCGGGCGATTTTTAGCAATCTTCGTAAGTCTTCGGGAGATAGATCAATGATCTTTGAAAGTGTTCAGCCAATATTCGAAAATCGTCAGAAGTGTTCGGATGGAAACTTACCTATCTTCGACTTTTTAACAAGTAAGTAACAAGTTCTATGCGGAACTTGTGTGGAACAGTGTGGAAGTTACGCTAACAAGTTCTATGCGGTCACATACGGGAAAGGAAAGACTGAAAAATAAACTTTATCTTCGACTTTTTAATTCTGGTCAAAATCGACCTCGGAAGACCGTCGGCAGCCTTCGAGCTTCTTCCTACTACGGAAATATCCATTGTAACTGCACTTGTATTGAAACTTTGCTCTCGTGTCTGACAACTGCGAAACCAAGTTCATCTTGGAGCCCAAAAATATATATCGGACTGAAAGTAAGCTATCATTTTTTCAGATTTTGTTTCACTATTGGCTGATGTATGTGTAAATATACCCAGACTCCATAGGCTTCAATATCTCCGGTAACTTGTAGTAGCAAGTGCAAATGGCCTAAAAGAAAACTAAAAATATGGCTTATATTAAGGACAAATTGACAGGAAATTTTTAGTCCGTAGAACCATAGTTAATTGACAGAGGGAAATGGTTTGGAAACTTGGCAAAGTTCTTTGTTGTATGTTTTTGTTTGCTATTTTAGGGGTCGACCCTGCACAAAACTCGGCAAAATACAAAAGGTATTACGCCCATAGTTTGTCTATAAGACCGTTCCGCACAGGCAAATTCGACAGTAAGCAGCAAATCAGAAACGTGCGTAGACATTGCACTGTAGAAACGTTCGCTTGAAGAAAAAATTACTCCAATTTTTTTCATGGAAAACAACAGCTTTCTATTTTATGGGCGATAGTTTGCCTATACATTAAAAATACAAAAGGCGACGTCGAAATTTTCAAAAAAAAAAAGGTGATTACTGGACGTGCTTGACACTAGACACGACACGACACGACACTTGACACGTGTTGCAAAGTCGCTAAAAACAGAGAGTTAATCATTCAAAGCTCGAACAAAATGACTTTAAAGAACCATATGCGGTGCTGCACCGCTACTAGTGTAAAATGGTGTTGTTGTTGCTGTTGTTGTTGTTTTTGTTTTAGTTTAGTTTAACTCATGTTATTTCTCTCCATGTGGCTCGTAAAAGTAAAACATTACCTTTTATATCATCAGGAATTTGCATTGATCATGTCAATAACTACACGTGCAACTGCCACGTTGGTTTTACTGGACCTCATTGCGACGTTAAAATCAAGAATTGTACCAGTGATTCCTGTTACCCAAATGTGAAATGCTTTAAAAACAGCAACACAATTTCATGTGGTCCGTGTCCATTTGGTTTCAGTGGCGATGGAAAGAACTGTGAAGGTAAGTGTGCGTGAATAAAATTATAATACGTTTAAAGGCAACAAGGACGTTTTCAGTCCCGGCCCCACCCCGATATCCCACTCCAACCCCCCTTATCCACCCCTGCCGAATTCAGGCTGTGCTGGGTTAACAGTCGGCTGTGATATAACAGGTGGGAAAAGCTTTAATCAGCTGTTATTAAGACAAGCTTCACGACTTGGCGTTAACGAATCGAGTCATTTCTCAAATATCTGCTTGCTGCAGAAATCTGTTTCCAGTTTCTGAAGGGTGTATCAAAAAGACAGTCACTTCAATAAAACAAGCAAAAGGTGCTCAGCTCACTCACCTATCTTCTTCGCGCTCTGTTGCGCATAAGGCCGCAAGCAAAAGGTGCACCTTGTATAAATATATTTAACAATTATTCCATTCGCGCTTGTTGGATATGAGATGGTAAATAGCCAATGAGGCCCGTAGGGCCGAGTTGGCTATAACCAATCTCATATCCAACAAGCGCGAATGGAATAATTGTTTTATTAAATTCGGTGCGT